TAATCACAAAATAAGATTTATATTAATTATAGAGCAGAAGGAAAGCGCCTCAGGAAACTAGAAACTCATTGGCTTCTATAAAAAACAAAAACACTGAAGTTGTCTGTCATCACGTTGGCTTCTATTTTCTCTCTTTCTCTTTGTAACTTTTATGCCATATAAATATTAAGCCTGATACTAGTCTAGACTTATCTCCACGATTCACATCTCACCTGGGAGTGTTTGAATACATCTCTCCCTATTACATCCAGGCCAGTGGGATTTTTGATGGCACCGACATATTCAGATACAGCCTTGATGACCACATCACAGGGTGGGAGGACCAACTGGTGGGCACGCACCTAGAACCAACAAGAAGCACACACCTAGACAAAAGTTTCAGTGAAGACAAAAGGCAGCACAGTAACAACTCTATGGTCTAAAGAGCTGAACAACTACAATTACCAATAGTACAATTAGTTTGAAGAACAGAATAGGAAAATTCCCCCGCCTCATCAGCCGATGATCAGGAAATATTGGTATCATAGACTAACTCTCTCTATGGATTTCTTATGTCTGCTGACATACAGTGGAACCTCAGCTCAACTCCGCATTGGAGTCAGGATTTTACTTCAGGGTATCATTTATACAACATCACAGTCTGGTTTGGAAACATCACTGCTTCAGACAGGAAGGCTGTGCAGAGAGTGGTGAGGATAGCTGAAAAGATTATTGGCAGTTCCCTCCCTTCCATCCAGGACATAGCACAGAAGCATTGCTTGAGCAGGGTCCGTAAGATTGTCTGGGACACTACACATCCTCTTCACAACCAGTTTTCCTTGTTATCTTCTGGGAAGAGGCTTCGTGGTATCCGAAGCAGAATATCCAGATCAGTCACAGTTTTGTTCCATACAGTATTAACCTTGTGAACTCTAAAGCTTCCTCTTTCCGTTATGTATTCAAGATGGACAGTGATCAATATTTATGTGTTACTTATATGTAAGGGTGTAGGTCGATATATATGTTATATATAGTATGTTTAAATGTGTTATGTATGTGTACACTTTGAGAGCAAGCAACTAAATTTCATTTTTAATGTGTGCCATTGTGCCCACAGTAAAAAATGACAATAAAGGTGATCTGTCTGTCTGTCTGTCTACCTACCTACCTACCAATCTATCTATCTAACATGTAAACATGTAATATTCCATAAGAGCACTCTTTCAATGAGATACAGTACTCTTGCTTATTAATGAAGTGTTAAAATGTTGATTTAGAAACTCTAAAAACATCATAAAATGACTTCTCCCAATGCCCACCTAACATTTTTAGGGTTGCAGAACAGGTCTTCTCAGTGATGGATTCCTCTTTTCAAACCAAAAGTTTTCTAACCAAAAGAATCTGGCTAATGCCTTTCTGTCAAATCAAACTTTTGGCCAAACGTCAGTCATGTACAGTATTTGATTTTACTGTTGTGATTATTTAAATTGATTTAAATCCTCTGTATATTTATACTGTAACATTACAATTAAATCTTCACCATAGACAATGATGATATTTTTAAATGAGGAAAAATACTGTAGTTAACAGTCACACGGTGGTACATTGGGCTGCTTGCAGCATCAGACGTGAATTAGCTTAGCTGTTTTTTAAATTCATTCTCAGTGACCAATATAGGTAGTCCTTAACTTACAACCGTTCATTTAGTGACCCTTTGAAGTTACATTGAAAAAAAATGGCTTACAACTGGTCCTTGCAGTTATGACTGTCAAAACATTCCCCTCAGTCATGTGATCAAAATTCGGGCACTTTACAACCAGCATGTATTTACCATGGTTGCAGCATTCTGGGATCCTGTGATTGCCATTTGCAGCCTTCCCAGCTAGCTTCTGACAAGCAAAGTAAATGAAAGCTGGATTTGCTTAACAACCATGTCATTCACTTAACAACTGTAGTGATTTAACAGCCCTGGTAAAAAAAATCATAAAATCATGTGCGACTCACAACAACCACTTTGTTTAAGCAATGGAAATTCTGGTTCCAATCGTGGCTGTGTCGAGGACTACCTGTGTAAACTGGAGGAGGTCAGACACATCGAACAATTCAGTGACTCAATCTTTTGCAACCTCCCCTGTGATATTAACTATAGCTCTACTTGTCTCCGGCACATGGTCACACTAGAGAGCATCAGGCAGAGAAGACGGCAATAATCCATGCCAGAAATGTGACCTGTTTATTCCTGCTCTGTCTGTGGTTACAGCTATCTCCCAGCCAAAGCTGTAGAGCTACACAAAACTATAACTATAAT